CTTTCCCTTAATAAAATCAAAGTAAATTAAATTAATTGACAAACAAGATCCTTTTGAGATGTGGTATCTGCCACTTGTAGCTTGGAATTAAATCATGGAACATCACGTTCATATTTTTTCATTTTTACTATAACATGATGTTGTGTAATATGACTTTGGAGAAATTGAAAGGAGAAAATAGTCCTGACTTCAAATAGTTTTTTACATTTCTTTTTAAAAAATGTTTACAGTCTTAAGGAAAATATTCAGGTCTATCATGGTTTGACAAATTTTTAAAAAGTTATTTTTGGTAAGGTCTTCTTTTAAAAGAAATTTAAACCTCAAGGGTTTTTTGTACCACTATAATCTCTAATACTTAAATCAGAATGACTGTGTATTTACTTAATTTCTTATTACGTGCCTTATTATGTGCTTATAATGATACAATAGCTTAGAGTTTTATCTAAAGTATCTTGAAAACTGTATTGTGGGCTTGGTGAGAGAGTTTTCTTGATCTATTAGTTTTTTTTAATGTTTTCATTGTGATTTTTAATTTTTTTTCAATAAGTAATAGTCAGAATTCAAATTTTTGGTGCTTTGGTGTAGATTGGGGTGGTGGGAATGAGGATAACTAGTGCACAATCCTGTAGGCCTCTTCACATTTACCTGGGTGCAGTTGGCTGACACCAATATTGGCTGTAAATGATTTTGTTTCTGGATTTTTTTCCTAACCTTTTGAGTCATTGGCTCTCAAAATATTTTGTCTCAGGATTCCTGTTTTTCCCCCTATATACTGAGCTTAAAGTACTAAAGAGTGAACTTGATTTCCTACATAAATATCATGACTTCAATACTGAATGTCCACTTCTCTTAAGAGAGCAAGTTAAGATGCAATTACTATTTTTGTTGAATGTAGGTATGAATTTTAAAGTTATTTCTGTTATTGTGTTACAAAATGTTAAGTTTTTTTGGAAGGAAATTTCCTTTTCTTGACATTTATGTCCACATAAATTTGATCAAGATTTTTTGAAGAGGTATCCCTCTCAAACATAACGGTTGTTTGTTTCTGCTTTTTAGAACTGCTTCAGAAATAATTGCAGATGTAGAGCTTTTGCTATAATGGTTTGTTACTCATTCACCTTGGTTTTTCATTAAGCATATATTTTCTTCCCATACTCCTAGCTGTGGAGTAGCATACTACGAGAATCCTGTAAAGATTGAACTCTCCTAGAAAAGGTGTCCGCCAACCTGAGTAACCATTTTGAGACAGAAGTCAAAGATAATTTATCTCAAATATTTCTGTAGAGCAGTAGGCTAAAGAGAAGGACACTAGCTTGCCTTTACTTACTTAAATATCTTTGTGAAGCACAGTACCTGATGATGAAGTTGGCAAAACTCCATTTTCCTGGAGTGTACTCATACCATTTGATAAAGCATGCACACTAGGAAGTGTATACACCATGAAGAAACACCTATAAATAACTTTCCTTACTGAAAAGAGAGTAGTATAAAAGGTGATTTGTCAGCATTTCAGAGTCTTTCTCCTTCCATTTGTCCAAATGGGTGAAATCACCTGGGAAAATTTCAAGCCAGTTTATTCACGAAAAGGTTTAGGGTACCTTTGGTCCATAACACTATCTTAAGTTTTCGAATTAGCATTATTTTATCGTAATGTAGTGTGCAGGACCCTTTATTTGCAGATGGGTCCTTATTCAACAAGGAAGGTACTTACCATATATTTTAAGCATGTGTTAATTGCCTTCCTGATTCAGAACCATAGTAAAAGTGCTTCCTTACTGCACTTATTAAGATGGTTGCAAAACTTATTTGAATTTTACCTGCAAACTTTGGCCATGGGGAGGGTTTTGTTTGTTTTTTGTTTTTAAAGAATTGCTGCTACAAAGGAGATGAATTGTATTGGAGTTGAATGTAATTATGAAGCAGGGAAAAGCAACCTTAAGTTTGAGAGTTAGTATTGGCATGTATAATATCAAGTGATGTGTGTATACTGTGTGTATAATATGCTGTATGTGTGTACAAACATACACATTACATGTATTTTAATTTATTGATTCTGATAACAGAAGATAGGGATGTTTGAACTAATTTAAACAGATGAGGGATTTTTGGTGTGATGTTAAAATGGGAGGAAGAACAAATATTTGATTTGTTAACTTTAAAAATGTAGCTACATTTAGTATATGAATAATGTCGGTTCTGGACTATTTACAGTTTGAATTGTAGAGGCCTACAGTTTATATGTTGGCACATATTTCTAAGATACTGTTTCTTTAAAAGAATAATTTGGGGTGGCAGATATTTCTAATCTTCTGTGAGCTTTTTTTTGTCACACAGTATATCTTCTATCTTATCCTGTGTTGTCTGTGTAATTCATTTTTTGCTATTCATTTGTAGTGAGTTACCCTGCTGAGTTTATTTTAGGTTTATATACTTTTGTAAGGATGCCGTCTGCATGTCTGTCTCTTAAGGAGTTTTCTGTTTTGACAAGAGGTGCGGACATGCAACAACCTTCAAAAATAGCAGTACATTGTGTTTGCTTTTAAAATGCTGGTTTAAGTGAAACTTATATCAAGTTTGGTTTGCGCCTAGTCCCTTTCTTAACAAAGTAGGAATCAGGGCACAAACTTATGCTTTGTGCTCTCTGGTGTGTGTCTAGCTGCAGAGATCCCTTTGTGGTTGGGACCCTGACTCCACCAGAAGCAGCTCTGCTGGCAGATCCTACACGTATCTGTGTTTGCAGGATCAAAGCTTCTGGAAGGACATGGTCTTTAAAATATAGATATTTAGTTGCTTCTTTTTTAATCCCTGGTAACGCATGTATTACCCAATTCCAATTCTAATGCAGAATGCTGGTGTGAGCTTATTTCTGACTTGCAGGTACCAAAAATGTTCAGAGGCAGAGGGTTTTTCTCCATTTTGGCTGAAGCACGGGGGTTGTTTTGTTTTTGTTTGCTTTTTCAGTCAAGGCCACATCACTGTTGGAGCTAAATAACAATTTCCTTCCCCCTCGTCTTGAGTTTGGAGTGCTTAGCCTGTATCTTCTGCAAATCCAGATCAGCACTGGTAAACGTTTGCCCCCTTTCTTTCTTATCTAAGTGCAGCCACACTCTTTAAAGCTTTGTTCATCTTGGAGCAACTGAATTAGAGGTTGGAAGTGCCTTTCATAGTGTCACAGGATCCTCTGTATAATGGCACTTGAATGGTTATGACTTCATTTAGTGTCTAATTTGGTAAATTAACTGAACCTCACTGCAAAGCTCTGAAACTTTTAAACTACTTTTCAAACTTTTTTTTTCACTTAATTTGATTTTATTGCCTTATTTGTTCTATCCATTGCACTCTTCGTTGTGCACTTGAAATACTGAAGCCCATTCTGTGCCTTCTGAGGAGAGTTGCTTGTGTGGCATTTCCTAACCACAGACTGAAAACATCTGTATGAGGGTGGGGGGAGTACTTGCCACTTCTGGAAGATGTGCCATCATGGAAACTGTGTGATCAGTGAGTTTATCCCCCTCTGCTACCATTTAGGTGGACAGAGAAGTAAGAATGTGTGGAGCATTTGTTTGAGTCACACACCTGAGTCTTAACTCTTAACCTCTGTCCCTAGATACATACCGATATGTACTGCTATTTTTTAAACTAGAAAGAAAGGGTGCAACTTGATTTAAAGCCATTTTTGTTTGCCTTTTACTTTTTGTCTTGGTCTGTTGTTAAATAGAGCAAAACTTTTACTATTGTGCTGAGAGAAAACAGTTCAGATTGTACTGTTTTTTCTGTGGTATACAAGACTGTTCTCAATCTTTTTTTTTTTCCTGGAGAAAATCTTAACCATGAGAAGTTGTGAACTATTTCAAGAAATAATTGAAAATTTCTAAACTATTTAATTTCAGGGTTTTTTGGAGGGGAAAAAACCAAAACGGGACCAAAGTTTATGTGCCTTCAATAGTCTTAATTGTAGTTTTTTTCCTATCTATTGCAGTCTTAAGTAGAATCAATATTCTTGTTTTCAGGAAAATGTGTATTTATACAGTTAAATGAATGTTGTCCCACTGACTCCATATTTGCAGTGAATTTTAACTTTTAGTATGGTTTTAGTTATCCCTTTGCCTTTACCATTGCAATATTCATTGTACTGCGTTATGCAGAAAGCCAAGAATAATTCATATATTGCTGGTTTCTGATGATTGACAGCTTGCAACTGTTGGAGTCCCCAAGAAGTGACACACCTTGTATTTGATGGTCCTTGATGATAAAAGTGAAGGAAAGCTTGTACTTCAGTAGCCTGTCAGCGCTATAAACATTTTTTTCAGTTCTTGGAAACTCTGAAGCATTTGAGTGGAAATCTTACCACCTATATGCCTACAATTAGTCTAAGCACATTCTAGTTCTTCTATTCTTTTGATAAATTACCCAGTTCCTGCAAAAGTTCATCCCAGACCCACAGCAGCACAAGTCATAATGGTTGCTGACCAAGCAAATTTTTACATTAGAATGTCACCTCATTGCTCTGACCAAAGACTGTCTGTTCTGGTTTTACTGAGACATCCTGTGAAAACTTGTTTTCTCTCAAGCTCCTCTCTGAAAGAAGACCCAGTGCAAAGTGGCCTTTTATTTGACTCTACTATGGGTGGATGGACCACTTAGTGGAAAATGAGATTTTAATGTGAACCAAGTGGTGTGGGATAAGGCAAAGGGTTAATGGACTATTTTTAGTACTGTATTCGAGAAAAAAATAGCACGGCTAGGAATCACTGACATTCCCTCATTTTTCATGATCTGTTCAAAAAAGTCCCTTTTCAGTTTGTAAGAATGTTCATCTAACACGAGAAATGCTGTAAATATTTGTAACAACATTTTTTACCTGGCAAAAAGGTTTTTGGGAACAAGTTAAAGTATAAAATGGTTTTTATATAAAAACATCAATTGTCTTGTATATTTTGATAAGCAACAGTACCAGCTTTCG